CAAGAAAACCTGTCGGTTTTGTGGCGAATGACAATTTTCATGCCGCTGTCCCTACCGGAACCGGCAGCAAATACGCTCGATAAGGCCACAAAAAAGAATACTGCGTAGACAACTTTGGTGCTCGTGCAAAAATCGGCCCGATAAATGGATACACTACATTCAGGATGAAATCACCCGGCCGACGAAAATTCGTCTACATACCCATTTTCAGGCGAGTCGTTCCAATGCTATCAAGTGGGTGGCCCGGTAGAGGGAACACGACAACGTCACACAGGCCACACAGTGATTCGAGTATAAGGGGAATGCTGTCCACCGTGGACGCAAAGTCGATTACCACGTCAAGCGCGCGGCGCTAATCAAATCTTTGGAGCGCCCGATAGCTGTAACATAGCTCCAAACTGGAGGACATTAGATTTCAAATCAGAATGCTCACTGCCCGAGAGACTTACAGACATGCAACAGAACCTCTCTGAAGCGTCACAACTGAGCTCAAATCAGTAGTCGAGTGAACTGCGTCGTCAAGGGAGATCTGTCCGGAGGCCAGTCGCTCCTAACGACGGAATATTACATCGGTTGGACAGATAGGCCACGCGCGGACTGCGGACTAGACCATCAAACTACTCCTGTTTAACTCTTCCTTTTCCGCTCACTCTGGTATATCAAAACGCACGGCAAAACTGGAGGACGGTAGATTAGATATTGATTCTAATGTGAAGACCCTGCAGTCATTTGAAGTAACGCGGAACCTGTGAGTATATTTGACGAGCAAGGTAAAATGCACCTCAGAATTGATACAATTGTGGACTAGAGGACACGTGGCTTGATTTGGAGTGTCTGGTCGTTATGACTACCCGCAAGTGTCTCGTCGCTTTTGGGCAACATGCTAAGATACAACGAACACAGCATCGTATTTGCCATATGATACGACATACGGTACTTATTCAGTACATCCAGTCGATATCCTCATTGCTGCAACAGTCAAAAGTTGGTAAAACCTATACCTATCCCCAAACCTACCATATGCTTTCCGAAGGCATGTACAGCTGGCGTGGAATTGTTACCAAAGTTTAACTACGTCAGCATTGCGTGAATTTATGTTTTCACGTAGCTGCCTGACTGTCGGATTTCATCCCTCGCATTCCCTTAATGTATAAGTCAGTCAGATAATAAGGTGTAAACCAGGTGCCATGGGTAAGTCTCCAGCCGCCACCTATCCGTTGAGCAACAAATGGGGAACCGGTAAGGAATAGCCATGCTTTGGTAACTATCCAGTCAGCTCATTGTTGATGGTTCGTCGCATTTGCCTGATGTATTGGGAAGTTAGGTAGCTACTGTCGAATGCAATATCTTCGACACAAGAGTACGGATGGTTATCTGACTACCCGTTATACCTTAAATCGTTGGTGACTGCCAGTCCAGAAGGTGGTGGTAAGTGCTTCCATAAATCGTTGCCGTCTGGCGTTTCCAACTGGATAGCTTCTGAATATAAGGGTGGATGGCAGTGGATGTATAGGGGGACGAGTAGAGTTGTCCTTTACCTCCACTGAAGTGTTCTCAAGTGGTACGATGATGACGATGTGGACACCTCAGAGTGCTTGTGTTAGGCTAGTAGTAGGTTCCATCCATCTCCCCTTCCATTCCTTTTTTCACAGTAAAGTCTCAAATAAACTATGGCAGTGTGATATTGAAATATGAGTGTCCAACACTCATGTGTGTAGTCAATCACGAGAAGGCAGGATGCAAACCATCTGGATGTGGGTCTTTATGTGATCAAGAAAGGTATCTCGCGGTGTGTGTCAACTTGGGACCCTGGTACCTTCTGTTTTTTTTTCGTTCTGATCACTTTCCATGATGCTGTCTGTGGTTTCTGATATTCGAATCAGTCTGTTCGAATATGGGTGAAAAAACCGTCTCCCCTAACATCGAGATCGCAGTCCGTCCGAGTTTGTGATGAAACAAAAAACAACCCGGTTGCAGCATAGCGTTGAAGTAAAACCAGTGGAACCAGACAGCCATGTAGCACACTGGTGACTGTTGTGGGAATCCGACCTGATAGGACCCTGTCAGCCATGGTTTTGAGTGCAAGGCACCCGCCCTACATACCTCATGCCATGCAGCAAAATTACCAGCTAGCCGAAAATTGGGCTGTGAAGTTACTAGGTTCGTTCTAAGCGGTTTAAGGTATATGGATGAGGTGAGGTTGAGCATGTATATGTGGTTTTGAGACACCGCAGTCGCCAGACTACATGGAAAATAAAGTTATAGCAAAGAATATCCGTCACCTCATTTGTTATTCGAGGTTTTACTTAACGAGACCTTTTGGGTTTGTAAAAGGTAATTGTCGATTGTACTGAGTGGCAGCCCATGGACATAACGGGTTGGGTATTTCACAATCGAATGATCCAGAATGGGCCAGCGGTGGAATGGAATGACGTGTGGGTAAGAGCGAATGTCACTTATCAATCGCTTTGGTCGAAGGATCCATGAACTCTGAAGTCTGGTCCTCAAGGCAGTAGGGTACTGGCTCAGTGGTTAAAACGTAAGTTTACTGACTGGAAGGTCCGTGTTTCGAACCCGACCTCTGCATTTCGACTTCGTCTGTCTAGGCTTGGGCAACATGGCATCCCAGCCCTCGTGCTTCCTTCGGGTGGCATGCCAGCTAGGCACCGAAAATGTGTTAACCGAACGATTACCAATCCTATTATCTACCAGCTCACTTTGGGGGTGCAGGAAACCCGATATGTTTGAGGCCGAATTGGGCTTTCAATACGTTTTGAGTGTCTTTCGACTGTATTGAATTCACCGGCGGTCGTGCTCAATCAGTGGACGATCCCACTGTGCAGTTCTTGGACCCAAAGGCTCTCAACCGTCTTCAGGAGTGGGCGACACTGATGTTTAATTTCTTAAGCACTCACACCAGATGGAGATGGTCGGGAACTTGGAAGCTCGGGACAGTTCTGTTGCTTTTTTATTTTTGATTAGTGTGAATCCACTTGACAGATCGCATTTTATGTTCTTGTGCTGTCATCAGCCACGTTTCATTGTTGTTCTTATCACTATGCTTACTGGTGAGCCTTCATTTTGTCTCATTGCAATCTCATGTTTCCTCTCCGTAGGTCATGTATCTGCTTCTTCATTGGGAAAAAGGCAGTCCATACGAGACACTAGATCAAGGCGAAGCGCGAGTACTGACACAATGGGAACAGTTCGATGATGGCGAGCAGTTTTCCCCTACAAAGAAATTCCTTCTGGTCGTTCCAATCGTATTGTAAGTCTGCGTTGTTTTTAATTGATGGTGTGTGGTTGGCTGAGCATCTGTGCTAACTTTCAAACCAAATGTGCTGACACAAACCGACCGAATACTCTTGGAGAGAACACTGTCACAGAGAAACTCTAGTAATGGTCGTATTAGCGCCACTGTCAGTATTTGGGACATTTGTGTCTGCACATGTTAAACTCTAGTATGGTCGTATTAGCGCCACTGTCAGTATTTGGGACATTTGTGTCTGCACATGTTAGAAGATCCTTTGTGGTAGCTTGCGGTGACTCGCACTCGATGACTGTGTTGGTACCGTTGCATGTCGGTCGGTTTCTCATTTCCTCATCCTTTTTTTAATGATGGTCCTTCTCACTGATTTGGATTTGGCTTCTTACCTGGACTGCCGCCTACTACAATACTAACTTGTTTATTTGCTTACTTCACGGCGATTTTCTGCTGTCAGAGGATGAGTCAGTTCTCATCTGAAAGCACCACGGTTTACAATGAGATCGCCTCTTGTACGGGGTGTTGCTGTTCACCGCGGTGACTTCTCCAGCCAAACACCATAAAAATACATTGATTCTGTCAATCTCCCAACTGCGGTTTCGGAGAGATTTCGTTGTAGAACATCCGAAAGTCTTCGAGAAAAAGTAGCGTCTTCGGAAAACTTTCCTATTTCTTATTCTCATGACAATGCGTAAACACGTCCGCTACAACGCGGGCTGTTTTTTCATTCCAATCCTCATAGAGGAAAGAAGCTCCGCTGCCTATCTACATTCACTGATCCATCTTTACACAAAACAGCTCAATTTTTTCTGCTTGCATAGCGTCGCTAGGTTAGTGAACTAGGGGACAAACAGTCCTATTCTAGGTCACATTCAGTTCTTGTTTCCAAGTAGGGTGTTTATAGTATCATGGAGTACTACTATATTACTATAGTACTATAGTATAGTATAGTACCATAGTATAGTACAGTATAGTATTATAACCGCATGCCACATATGCTGACTAAGCCAGCTTGGTCTTGCTGTTAACGTTATCCGGTGGATAGTTACCAGATCAAGTCTAAGTATACAGTATACAGTTCAGTCGATAACTTCTTAACCGGCGCTTAGTTCATTCCTCTCGTCTTGGTTCTGTGCTCAGATTCCTCCTGGCGAGTTTCTACACCGAGTACGATCCGATGCATTGCCTGATCAACGCCTCCTCCCTGATTGTCCTCGCTGTACTTCCCAAATTGCCGCAGTTCTATCGGGTCCGAATTTTTGGAATCAATCGCTGGTAGCCGTTCTCATTTTCGGTTGCCCCCATTTCATTCCAATCCACTGTGTTGACCCATCTGGCACTCTGGACCCTGGATCCCATTGACACTGCGTTTCCACGCCCAACGCACCTCCTTCGACTCAGCCTTCCAGTTTGTTTATCCCTGTGATCCCAATCGACTTTATTGTTGTTTACGCTTCACCAGTGTACATGTTCAGCGACTTAACAAAGAAAACAAGACAAGTACAGCAATAACATTCTTTTAATTCGTCTGATATTGCCTTCTTTCCAGCTGCGTTGGTCCTAGTAACCAACTACTGGTCGCGGTGATCTGCTTCGTATTTTTTCAAGGCTTGTAACCGCATCCCACCCGTGTCTCGTGGTTTGTTATGGTCTTTTATTTTGCCTATTGATCGACGATGCCCTTGCTACAGCGAATCCTTTTCAAAGTCTAGTTGGAGTGGTGGTGGTGGTGGTTGACCGCTTGATGCTTACTCGCAAGTGGCTTCATACTCTCTCCATCCCGTCTTGTGTACTCGGTTCACACTCGACCAATTGTTTCCGCATACTGACGTTCTAATTTTCTGAATTCTTCAACCCCTGATGTTTGGATATCTGAAACTAAAAAAATCCCGTTCACTATATTGAAGTATGAGACATTGTCCTGACGATGGCATGGATCCCGTGTGTTTGGGACGTTTTTGATCTTTCCCGTTGTTTGCGTGCATGGTTAATGTTGGCCTGCACTATGATTCAAGCGCACTAATGACTACCTTATATGTTACACTGGCGATGAGAAAGTCTATTTTTACATCCAACCACGTTTTTCAACATGGAAATGACGCGGTCGCCCCAGGTGTTACTACCAAACGGGTGCCGGTCATTCAGGTGTAATATGCCCGGAAAGCCTTTATTCACTTTGTACAAGTGTCTGGCACCCTCCGTGGAGCTCTAATTGGGAGAGGAAATTGCATAGAATCAAGTGAATTGCGTCCATATGTACCCATGGCGATGTACCTGACCTTGCTCGGGTGTGTCGTTAATTTTAGCGCATCAAAGTGACAACACTGGTTTTGTTTTCAGTGGTTGTATATCTGGGCTGTCATGTACCTAGATGTGGAATTAGTGCTCATTGTTCAAACGCTGCAAGGTGATTGGATTTGAGCTCTGGAAAAAATTTGGACGAGGTATGAACTGTAACTAACACAATATGGTAAAAGTAGTCGAAACCAGTATCTACTCGATTTCACCCTAGAGGTATCAGTTGTACGTTCCGTAGATGAAATGAAATGAGGAAAGCCCTTCGCGGCGAAGTCAGGACTCTGATTTTTTTGTCCAGTTCCACTGGATTGTTACTACTTACAGCTGTATGCTGTGAAAGATATCCCTGGGGAGGATCTCTCGAGATGGCCCAAGTGGCTAGAGCACGAATTTACTGACCGGAAGGTCCGTGGTTCGAATCCGACCTCCCTCACTTGACTTCCCCTGTCTAGGCTTGGGCAACCTGGCAGTATCCCAGCCCTCGTGCTTCCTTCGGGTGGCATGGCAGCTAGGCAAGGGCGCTACAGCTGAAGGATATATCTCTCGAAATCTTCGTCGATTCAACATAACTTCATTATATACCCAACTGTCGCTTGACTTTCCTCCACACAACCAGTCCGGCAATGGATTTAATCACCACGGTTTGTGGAGTAATGGGTTCCGGCCCTGCATTACCCTCCACGTCGTACCACTTGTGTCTTGTCGTCTCGAAAAGATCTTTTTGCTGCAACCAGTCCAGGTATCACGTGTCCGCAAGCTTCAGTGTCACCAGTCCACCTGTCACTACGAAACATGCATGCTTATTGAAATTCGACCGTTTGCTCATTACTGATGGATTATGAGCAACACATCGGTCTCTTCTTACCCAGGTCAGCGACGGTGACACCTGATATTCAGATTAACTTGTTTACTCCTAAAGACGACACTTCAAAGAATACATCCTGTTCTATTAACCCTGATTTGCTGGTAGACTGTCGCGAATAGTTGGAGCGAGGAGCGTGTTTGGAGACTAGGCCGTAACATTATTGCATTTCTTAGGCTCAGCATTTGCAATCCCAACGCAGGATGAAGGCTAGAACATGGGACAGACGGATACATTAGCAAGAGGGCCTGCCAGGGAACGCAGTTTTACGGATCGATTGTCCACCGGGATTCTTTGAATAGATGTTGATTTTTAACATGCCTCTGGAAGGAGATTCGGTTACCGAGGTGTTCGCACGATCGAAACTATCTCAAACTCTTCTCAATAGTATTTATTTTCTAAGAGTGGGTCACTAACTCTTATGAAGAAAGGATAGCTTTTGGTATGGACCTGTTTCACGACAATCCGTCCATTCCTGTGTTCCCGTGAAAGTTGAACTGCCATTTGGTTGTCACAGAACGGTACAGTATGGCTAGAAAACGTCATTGTTCGTTACTCGGAGACACAAGCCAGATGTCAGGAGTGGTGTATTGAGTTGGGAGTAACTGAACCAGTCAGGAATTCGCTATCAACTGGAAAATGTTTGGGACCGGTTGGAAAGTCATCGTTTCAGAGGGGTTTGGTAAACAATCGGTGGATTTATTGCTGGGCAACGTTTCGCTTTTGACAAAAGCTTCGTCAGGCTAAGTGAGTAAGTAAGTAGGTTGATTGGGTTTTAAGGCAGTCGGAACCAATCTGTGAGATTCCTTATGACTAGTGACGTGGTCCATGCTGGGTGTTCAGTTTGTCCCTGTTTGTTGATTAGTTGGGATGACTAAGATTTACGATAGATTGGTTAGGGGGGATTCGTCTTTATGATGAACCCAGATTTTTTCGTCCTTGCTTCTTCAGTCTAGGACACAATGGAAAATTCCTCTTGGGGTCGTTCACAGATTTCGTTCACCTGTGTCCGTCCAAAGGTGCTGGGACAGTGGTTTGGGGATTGGGGTGGGGTGGTTAATTGGATCTAACTCTACTTGGAATTTGTACTTTTAGACCCAGGCGATTTCGCTGATAACCGCACACCGCCTCGTGTCACCTCGGCTGATCTAAGATCCCTCTCCACACGTTCACACTGGGATGTTTGGCGATTTCCACCGCCTCGGCCACCAGTCGCTGTGGTGTGAATCTTAAACCTCGCCTCAGGATGTCCACATTTTCAAAATCTATCCTATGCCCAGTGTCTACAGCATGCCCTGCCATTGCCTGGGATTTATCTGCGTTTCTTGGTGGTCTGTTAAGGAACGCTTATGCTCACCGATTCTGGTGTGCAATTTCCTGGCTGTCTGACCTATACAAACCTTCGTACAATTGTTACGTTTTATTTTGTATACACAGTTCCTAGTCCTATCAACCGGAAGGCGATCCTTCAAATGCAACAACACCGAGCGTAAAGTTTTCCGCTGACCGTATTCAGTATCCTTCTAATAACTTCAGATGTCCCTACTTTGTATGGAATGACCGCTGTTCCGATCCACTCCTTGTTGGCACCAGTACCCGTCTTTGTTGCCGATTAATTAAACCCATTGGGTATCCGCTATCTTGAAGTCGCTTTTTTACCCCAAGTTATGCTGCTCTTCGGTCGACCTCCTAGGTATTTTGACACTTGGAGTAATTCTATTCCGAATATCCTATCGAACGGCCATAGCCCTCCCCACTCCGTTTTCTCGTGATAGTTGCCCATTAAGCATTCGTGTTCTACCTAATTTGTGTATGGAGATCTCCCTACACATTCTCGATGCGATAGACGAGGAGACAGAGTTTCGCTTACGTTGTGAAAAAGTGTCAGCTCAACAGTTGTGCACACAGAGGACCTCTGGAACTAAAGGCGAATTGGAAATCGATGCTTGTATGTACAGGGAAATTCGTGATGATCTGTTAAATTCCATGAAATTCCAATCAGTGAAGCCTCCCCCCCATGCCAAGAGGAGATCGACTGGACATGATACCGAATCTTGATGAAGCTAACTTCTCACTCTCGTGCGAGTGTGGGTGATTTTGCCAATTTCAGTACCCACCCCTCATAAAAAAATATTCTAATTTGTTCCGTTCGATACTTCGCAGATTCTTCGTCTTATTTTCTCCACAAACAAACCTGGTAGTGAATTGGGTATCATTCTTCTTTACTCAGTTGTCATGGCAACTTTAGATTCAAACTCCTATTCGAGGACAGAATGGAGCCGGTTCCACCTATCAGATTGTAGGCGTGACCAACACGTGAATGTGTTGTCAAGATGCTGCGAAAAATTTTGCTTCACGCAAGACCGCTGAGGCTGCTCCTTACTTCGTGCAATCACCTGTTTTATATGGTTTTGCACCAAGATACCTCCTAGTCAAAACCAGATACTTGTTGGAAATCGAGCTTTTGTTCCATTCTTGTTCTGGAATGGGACTTCGTGCGGAATGGTGAGATATGCATACACCACATTTCGATCTCCGTCGCTTCATTCATCTTTCCGACTGGAGATAAACAATCTGAACAGGATTACCAACCGATGAGATATGTGTTCAGTCACAAACTGGCAATTGGTGTTAGTTTATCTACCTGTTTTGAGCGAATGCAGTTCCATTTTAATCAACGGGCATAGGCGAAGATCTCCGCCATTTCCTAATATGTTGTTTCGTCTCCATTCGTGGAGGACGCAGTTTCCAGCTCGATTGCTATGACATTTCGCTGACGCGGAAACTTCGTGGTGCATGGAAATTAAATCGCTGATTTTTTTTAAAATCTAAAAGACATTTCTAGTCAAAGCTAATGAGATTTTTTCAGAAGAGCTTGGTAAACAATCGGTGGTTTTTATTTGGGCAACGTTTCGCTTTTGACACAGCTTCATCGGGCCAAGTGAGCAGGTCACCAAATTGGCTAGGTTATATAAGACAGACGGGGAACCAGTCAGTAAGTCCTCTTCACACTAGATCATTGTTGAGTGTCAATTAACGGCTCTTGTTGGCTAGTGCGGGTGCCAAANGTGCTTCAGTTGATGATTCAACTCGGTTGCCATTGGTAAACTTTCCATGGTCTTTGTGGGGTCTTGAGTGCTCGGACAACTTAGTTTGAGGGGGGGGGCTGAGGTCAAGTGGAATTCAGATGATGGCCACTCTTCCTTCCGATGACCGCACACCAACACGTGTCAGCTCGACTGATTCAGAACCGTCCTCCACACGCTAGCCAGTTCCACACCTTCCATTCTGTTAACACTGGGATGCTTGGTGATTTCTACCGCCTCGGTGATCAGTCTGTGACGTGGACCGTAGTCCTCGCCTCAAAACCTCAACATGTTCTAAGTATTTTGTGTCCTGTTTCCAGTGCGTGTTCCGCAATCGCCGAGTCTTTCAGTAATGCTCGATATTCATCTGCGTTTCTCGGCGGCCTGTTTATTTTTCTACTATGCTCCGACTCAGGCCGTCTGTCCTGTATAGACCTTGGTGCAACTCAGGCCGTCCTGTATAGACCTTGGTGCAGTCATTACACTTAATTTTGTAGACAGTCTGTGGTTGTTTGCCGGGAGGCGATCCTTCAATCAATCCAGTGCAGAGCGTTCCCCCTTTGGAAAACTACTCTTATGTTAGCCGTGTTGAGAATTCTTCGAATGACCTCCGATGTCCCTGGTTTGTATGGGATAACAGCGGTCCCGATCCATTCCCTGTTGGGTTTCCCTACCGGTGCCAACACCCTTCGCAATTGACGCTTAATCAAACTAGCTGGATATCCACTACCCCGAAGTTTGCTCTTTACTTCAATTCGGGCCGCTGTCCGATCAGCTTCTTCTGTGCACAGGGCCCTTACGCGCCTAAACATTGATCACGCAATACTTGCAAATACGGACTTCGG